CCAGCAATGCCCCTCTGCCATGTACATTGGTCAAACCGGTCAGTCTCTACTTAAAAGAATAAATGGACACAAATCAGACGTCAAGAATTATAGCATTCAAAAACCAGTCAGAGAACACTTCAATCTCTTTGGTCACTCGATTCCAGACCTAAAAGTGGCAATTCTTCAACAAAAAAACCTCAAAAACAGACTCCAACGAGAGACTGCTGAATTGGAATTAATTTGCAACCTGGATATAATTAACTTAGGCTTGAATAAAGACTGGGAGTGGATGGGTCATTACACAAAGTAAAACTATTTCCCCATGTTTATTTCCCCCCCACACACACACACACTGTTCCTCACACGTTCTTGTCAACTGCTGGAAATAGCCCACCTTGATTATCACTACAAAAGGTCCCCCCCGCCCCCGCCCCGCTCTCCTGCTGGTAATAGCTCACCTTACTTGATCACTCTTGTTACAGTGTGTATGGTAACACCCATTGTTTCATGTTCTCTGTGTATAAAATCTCCCCACTGTATTTTCCACTGCATGCATCCGATGAAGTGAGCTGTAGGTCACGAAAGCTTATGCTCAAATAAATTTGTTAGTCTCTAATGTGCCACAAGTACTCCTGTTCTTTCTACTCTGTACTATAATTCTTAAAGTCAAAATAGCTGAGAACTTAAAAATTGGATGGGAACAGACTGTGAAACCCACTGGTGATTCAACCTGGTAATAGTATGAACATACAGAGATCTCAGCCATGCTTGTAGCTGTTTCCATTGGTTCACAATGACTCAGACATTCTAGGCGTCAGCGTGACACACAGAATAAGAATCCTGGAATATTTTTATATAGATGCTTTTCCTTCCCCACATCATGATTGATAGTTTTACCATCCTTATCTAGTATTGGACCTACACTAGTGCTAAGATTTCACTTGTTCCTGATCAATTTAAACAATCTGTTTCCATACAGAAGTGAAAAACCACCGATGTTCCATTCCCCGTACCAGGGGGCGCCTGAACAGGGAGGCTGGGGGAGCCAGAGCTATGTCCTCCCACTTTTTACTGGCCATAAGGGCAAGCAACGGGGGAGGGGGCAGAGAGGAGCGATTGGGGGGGGCAGGGTCTTGGGGGGAAGAGGTGGTGTGGGAGCGGGAGTGCGGGGGCAGGGCCTCGGGGGATGATGTGGCACAGGGGGCAGGGCCACGGTTTGGGCACCTGTGGGCCCCCCACACACACTTTTAGGGTGTTTCCATCACTCCTGCCCGGTACAGTGCCCTGACCTGTAGCTGCTCTGTTTGCCAAACTCCAGTTGACTTCAGTTTGAATTGTACTCCTGAAGCAGCTTACATTATCGTCCATCTTGGCTATCTTTAGCAAAGACAGGGATTTGCAATATAATCTATAGATAATAAAATACTAAACTCTCCTACACCAATACCTGGTTAGCCATACATTTTCAGAATGTCCACTAATTTTGGAATCTCAATTTTTATGTAGCCATCTTGAGACACCTCATGAGCAGTCGTCATTTCAGGCTATGGCCACAAGATGTAGGTAGGGAAAAGCAATGCATGTTGAATACAATTCCATACAGATTAACTGACTATAGAAGTTAAACTTTCACCTTCTCTTTAGACATTTTACCCCCTGCTCTTGCAAACTATGAGCTAGATATTTTTTTAAGACAGAGTTTTTGCATAAACTGTTATGTTTATTCCAATCCTCTTACCAGAGGGTACCCCTCTGGAAACAAAGTTTTCAAGTTAAAGTAAATTTTAAGTACAGTTAAAGCAAAATAGCCACCCACTGCAACCAACCTTGATGTAGTCAGCATGCTTTGACTATGGCATGGCTGACATTTAAATGGGTGAAAAATCCCATTCAGTCTATTATGCAACTGAATTCTCTTGGCGTAGCTTCAAATAGCTCTTTAAAGAACAGTTTGTAATCGTCAAAGTAAGCAGTTTCACTGGTGGGAAAATAAGCTTTGGCAATTCTCTGTTTGACCCTGGCACCATAAACACAATTAAAAAGTACAACATCAAACTAATAAGGATTCAGCACGTGGAAGCAGCAAACATGCTACCTATACAAACGGGCATGATTCAATTGATACCACCAAAATAGTGTGACAGAGTAGCAGAGTAACAATAAGTGGATTTAATTTAATCCACTAGATGTAATGCCGTCAGTAGCATGATAAACAGTGTTAGTGTGTATTTCACCAAACATTTAAAACATTTAAAGGAAATCAGCAGAGCCCTGAAATGTAAAGTTGAGTCTATCTGTCCATGATGTTGCAGTTTGCAATCACTTACACCCCCTATGTTTGTCCGATGTATTGCAGCATAGTAATGCAGAATCTGAATAAAGCCAACAATTTTAAGTTCTCCATAGTAACTAATTTTTGGTTCATGAGCAGAGCAATGGGTGACTAGTAATCTATCTCCATTTGAGAGCATAATGTACAAACAATAAATACAGATCTATTAGAATAAGAAAGATCATCAACAAGCAAGCATTCAGGCATACATTTTTTTCTAACGACTTGTCCACTTGGGAAGGCTATAGGGAGCGAATGAGAAGTGCTATAGTTGTACTGTTATAATCCCCCATGTAGACACTCATATTCTGGTATAACGGTGCTTTTTTCCAGTTTAGTTTATGTCGCTTTGCAATCGGTTTAAGCTAAAACAAAAAAAAAAAGCACTCTTAGTTTGGACCAAGAATGTCCACATCGGACTTATACCAATATAACTATAGCAGTTTAGCAATACCAGAATAATTATACCAGTATAAGTGGGAAAATCTCCCATGTAAACAAGCCCTAATTAAATTCTGGTTCTTGTGAAAGGTGCTAAATTGACAGCCCTGGAAATTGAAGACCTCAGTTTATCCACAGTACAGAAAGAGCACAGGCAGAGACATGGGAGGTGGCTGAAACTTCACCTGGGGGAGGCGAGCTCCTTGTCCTGCCTCTTCCGCCCACAGCCCTGCCCACAACTCCACCCCTGCTCTGCCCCAGGCCCCGCTCCCACCCATAGCTGACTCGCCACTCACCTCTTCACCCCCCAGAGACCGCCCCCCCTCGGTCACCTCCTCACCCCCTACCCCCGACCAGACCCTTTTCCCATCTGCCACTAGAGCCCCTTCTGCAGCTGGTTCACTGCTTACCTCCTCACCCTGCTGCTGCCCCCCCCCACGCCTGGTGACACTCTCTCCCCATTTCACCTTAAAGCACAAATAACGTTCCCCAAGGGAACTGAACAAGCAACAGGTATAGCTCAGTTACCAGATAGATTCTTCTCTGCGTGGTAGGGAATTCAGTGTATGCTGTATAGAGAAAGATGAAAAGCCAGGCTACCTGCACCAACCTGAAACGCAATCTCTCCTTTTGAAAAAGTGCTTGTCATTGACAGCCTGCATGAAGGCAGTAATTTAATCACCTTTCTTACACAGAATTCCCTGCCAGACTCATTTACTTAAATTGGGTTTGAATAAAACGACTAGATCAAAAAAATAAACTCACTGGCTATGTCAGCTCCTCCTTGAGCCAGGTTAGCAGTTACTTCTTCTGGGTACAGAGAATAACTGAAGGGTCCTCAATCGGAAACAGTTTTTAACCCCAATAACACATTTTCCTACAATATAAAAGCCAGCTGGATGGGGCCAAAAGCTTCCTGGGCATTGACAAATGCCCGTTACATGGCTTCATTACCACTTTAATTGCTCTTTAACAGTTTCAGTGATCTGCTACTAGGTCTCTGGAAGGCTTTTTCACTTGTGTAAAGTTACTCAGGGATCCCCTCCTCATGCCTCCTGTCTGCCACTGACTCCCCGCCCGCATTCACACACACACCCATGCCCCACGGGGAGCGGGGTGGGGGGGGTGAGGAGAGATACAGCCAGCAACTGCCGGGCCCTCCAAGGGTGGAAGGAGATGAGATAGAGGAGAGGAGGAAGATTCACCCCAGGAAGCAGCAGCAAACAAGTGGGAGCCTTGGGAAAGAGGTGGGAGTGGGGCACCACCGCCCAGGAGTCAGGTGGCAGAGACGGTTGTGCTAGGGGAGGCAACGCCTCCCCTTGCCTATTATATCCGCCAGCCATGCACAGAGATAATAGAGGTTTCCACAAAGCAGTCTGTTGGTATGCCTCGACTCTGTTCTGGAAGGACCTCCTCCTTCCGGGAGGAGAGATTAGTTCAAACTCCATGTCCTCACTCTTCCGCATCTCTCTTTAGACTAGCACTTATGATGGTGGGATCTTGTGATGTGAAAACCAGCCCACTAGGAAAACTGAGTGCCTAAAGTTAAGCTCCAAATAGACATTTAGGCATAAGTGATTTTTTTTCATGAGGGCTGAGCCGCCACAGCTCCCATTGGCTTCATTGGGCTTTGAGGGATGCTCAGCCTGTCCCTGGATTGGACCCAAACTGCAAAGGTAGACAAACTCTACAAAAAGATGCAAAGTTACCCATGGGTTCCTTCCACACCTCCATACGCACTTATTTGCTTTAGATGGATTTGCAAAACTGACTTCTTTAATTCTAATGTTTTTGAGCTAAAAATACACATAGATTGGAACTCATTCATTCAGTTTCTGTTCTGTCTAGTTATCCAGCACTCAGAATGGTTGTAAATCAGCCTGTGAGTGTGCTCTGTTAGCTAGTTCATCCTCATTGCAAGCTAAAGGTTTTTTCCAAACATCAGCAGTCTAACGTTTAATCTCAAAATAGCTGGGAATTTTAAACAGTTGCGGTGAACTTGAAACAAGCCATTAGATTCTCTTGTCTTGTCTAGTCTAGTCTGTCAAAAAAAACTCCCAAAAGGGACATTGGTAACAGCCGTGGTATATCTCAACAGCAGCAAATGTAATGTTCTTGGCATTAACCCCCTCTGTAATAGCAGAAGTCAGAGAAAACATTCTCACAGAAACCTGCAGAGACATCAAGCATTTGATATATTCAATTTTCCTCTTCTGCTAACGTCTCTTTTTCCCTCTCTCTGCAGTATCCAACGCCGATTGTCTTTACAACTGCCCATTCTTCACCATGCCTACCTGCCATCCATAGGCGGAGTTGACGCTAGCTGCGCCAGTCCGTGTGTAAGCCCCAGTGCCAGTCCTCGGCACAGGCATGTGCCGCCATCTTTTCGAGTGATGGTTTCTGGCCTGTAGAAATGGGGGATCAGAGCTTCCTGAACTGCTTTTACGTACTCAGTGACTGGACTGAACATCAGACGTAGAACTCTGCTATAAACATACTATTTGCTCTTACCACACGGAGGAACTAGTGCTAAGGCCATCATCATGGGAGTACCAGTGTAACTCATGTGGAAAGGCGAGAGCAAGAGATACCTGGAGTTTGATCTGTAGCCTTATTCATGGATCTTTTATTTCTTCACAAAGAAGTCGTTGAAAATATTTCTTCCCAAATTTCTACTGGAGGCTGGGAAATACGAATCTTGCAAAAAATGAGACTATTAAAAAAAAACCCACTCAACTGTCACTGTTACATGGCTGCTGAAAACATGGAACTATATGCTGTCCATGTAAGAAAAATAAAATGATAGCGCTATAACATTTATTGAAATAGATACACTTCATTTTACAAAAGTTGTGTTAAATTGTTGGAAGCATTCTGCACTGGTTAGTCTTGCTTGTTTTCATTTCAGAGAGGATTTTCAGTGGGAAAGGGGGATTTTGAGAAATGATTCCTGAAGTGTGATTGAGACTCTGTGTTGCTAATAGCAGGGTCCCCCTGTAACTAAAAACTCTACACAGGGCAGAAGCAGAGGTTGTAGCAACAGCCCTGAGGCATTACCACCTACAGAGCTGCTGTTCCAAGTCAGAGCTCTTTACAGTTCTCCAGGGATTAGATGTGGTGATTGCCAGGTTCCCATGCTGACCATAAGGGACTTATTTTGACAGAGTTTCTGCCTCTCTTTCAAAATAAACACAACCAACCGTAATATACAAAGCCGGCAGAAAAAGTCCTCGGGCTGCTAACTCAATAAGCTGAGGATGGATGGGTAGTAAAGTCTTAATGTCACAGGATGGATTGATTTTCACAGTTTGTTTGAATTATGCCACACATAATTACAATCATACTAATTTAGTAGACGGGGTGGGTGGGGGGAACAGGGCACAGCACTTTGCGGCTGCAGGCAATTTCTGCAGAGTACATAGACAATAATATACACTACCTTTGCTTGGTACCTGTATGTGTGACAGTTGTAACTGGTAATAGGTGGTATAAACCAAGTTTGACCATAGAATATTTGGTTTGACTATGATAAATAAAGGTGTGGAAAAAGCATGAATTTTAATCTCTCTGTTGATCGGGGCTGATCGCATTTCATATTTGAGCTCATACCTTAGCTCTACTCCCCTAAGCAAAGTTATTCTAAGGTTGTTGTAAGAGGTTCTAGCTGAACCAATCTTAGCGACATTCTCACAAACTGTAAGGAAGGCCTGATCCCAGTCTATCCTCCAGTATATTGGCAATGTGATGTATCACGGCCTTGTCAGTTGTTAAGACCCGTGATTTTCTTAAACGAAATAAAAATATTGTCTTGCTAAAAATAGCAGTGGTGCCCCAGAATGCACTTGGTGTCTTTAACCAATGCCTGCCCACCTCACACATTCTGAAGTGACTATTCCACAAACACTCCCAGATCAGCGATGACTTTAACGAGCTGCTTTCAGTAGCTGCACAGTGGAAGAGGCTTATTAACAGAGGGACTTAATTGCAGCTTTGACAAACAAGCAAAAATCTTCACCACGTAGCCAAAATAACCATAAATATAAATCTTCCAATGGGAGCATCACAAAATATTTCACTTGGCACATACAGTAAGAGAGATTATGGAGGTACCTGTAGCTTTTAGAACAAAAACATGTAAGTATAACACAGGTAAAATAGAATTCATTACTCTGTTTAAGCATTGATGTTGTCACTCAATGTGTGTTGACAGTATTCTCTTGCTTTATTGATTTAATCAGGGCCTGGTTTATTTTAAAAGGAATCTGTTAATTTGTAAAAGAGAAAAGGACAAAACTGTATATAATGTATACACAAACATTGCTGTAGAAATATTAATCCAACATAGCAGGAAAAACTCAAAAGTATTGGCCTGATGGAGGTGAGTGTGTGTGTGTCTGTAACTTTGTGAATACTGACTGTGTGCCGTTTATTAGGTTTAAACCATGCAGTACATTCTTTGTCTCAATGATACTGTAGTTTCTCCCATGACATTTTTTTAATTTCCTGCAGCATAACAAGACCCACCAAGTGAATATAGCTATTTAATGTTTCTGTTCTTTTATACTGCAGCAAAACAGTACTGTAAATTTATGAAGAGGCTGTGCCCCAATGGCATTTTCCAATGATGTTAGTGCACAAATGCTTTAAACTAGACTGGGACTGCCAGAAGAAAATGTAAATGAAAAATTTCTTGTATACCCTTATACTGCATGAGATCAATTTTTAAAAAAATTGTTGCAAATCTGTTTTTATGAATAAAATATAGAAAATCTAACTTTGTGTAGCTTGATGAGTCCATCTCGCAAGGAGCAGCAAACCAAACTGTGGAGAAGGAGGGATCACAACACTTATATTGTTATAATTATATCTTTGTAATAACACAGAAAAGTAAAAATGCACGCTAATAGTCTGATTGAGTGCATATGTACCAAGATGCAGTAGACCTGCTTGCTTTAGCCCTGGTTATGACTATGCATGAATTTTAGAACCTTGTCTATACCCCTCTCACAAACCTTTCTTTGGAATAGCCACCAAAGAGACTAGAGACTGTGAGGCACCAATTTAACAAATGTTCTAAACATTTACCTCTGTAACCCCCAAGGAGTTTATCTGGGTTCCTGGGGCTCGGTATGCATGAAACGCAAGGGGAAGCACTGTCCCTGGGAGGAAGGGGGACCAAGGACAGACTCAGAGTCTGCTAGGCAACCGAGAAGGAGAGAGGAATGTCACTGTTAGAGCCAAGGAGGCTGGCAGGGCACCTGCTCAGAAGAGGGGCCATGGCTGAGAGAAAGAAGGGGGTAGAGTCAAATGACTGACAAGGGAAAGCCTAGAAAGAAGAGCTAACCTGACTAACACTAAGTGAGATGCCATCCCCTGGGAGCCCTGGAGGGGGGGAAAGCCATTTTGGAGCAGTCTGGAGCCAGCCACAGAAAGGGCAGGACTGACTGTGGGAAGCTGGTGAGTCCCAGGCCGGCATGCAGGGTCCCTCTGAGAATTGGCCTCTGGGAACCTGGAAGCAGGATCCCTCAGCTCGGCCCTTTCCCTCTTCAAAGTGACTAGGGGTGCCAACTGCCTAATTTCTGAAAACCAGACACTACAGTAGAAGCGCTGGAACCTCCCCACACCCTGGCTTCACCTCTTCCCCGCAAGGCCCCAGCCCTGCTTCACCTTTTCCTACAACTAGAAGGTAAGCAAACCTACCTATGTAATAAAATTGTGGCAATTTCTGCTTCAGTGAACAAGCTGGTTTTAAGGAGAATCTGTCGTGGTTTCATGAAAGCATGTGCTAAACCTCTCTGCCCCCTCTTGCACAGGCAATAGGGTTCATGTTCGAAATTGGGTTCTTCTGTTGGCTGGACTACCCCATATGTTTTCAGGGAGCATAGTAAGCCAGGTCAGGGGGTGGGGGGGCAGGGAGTAACCAAGAGAGCATATTTATATGGAAATGGGGAGACTCTTCAAGCCAGTGCACTGAGTGATTTATAAACCAAGATGATAAGAGCCTGAGATCAGCAAAAAAAAAAGGTTTCCCAGCAAATACCATTCTGATTGAACTTGGGTCCTATAGACCAAATGGTAAAAAAAGAACGAGCACAGAAAGGGGTAAAGCATTCTGGTTAAGTGGGAACTCCGTGTAGAATACAGCCAAAGCACTGCTGCTATGAGAAACTCCGGCAGGTAATACTTCAAATCTCATACAAAAATTTACTGCACAATCCAGATTTAATTAGGAAGCAGAATGTGGGAAACCTATGTCTTTGCGTTCACTACTGAAAAAAACACTCTGACCTGACGGGGGGGTTACCATATTTCTGGTTCCCAAATAGAGGACACTGCCGAAGGATGAAGGAGTCGGGGGGAGGAACAGTTGTGGGTGTAGGAGGGGGTACCTGTGGTGGGGATACTCACTGGAGGTGGTGGGGGCAGTGTCATGATAGGAGGGCAGCTGGCCAAGGCCAGGACTCAGTGACAGCCATCAGTCAACGCCTCCCTGGGCTGGGAGCTGGGGCCTGGATAGGAGCTGTGGCTTGCGGGGGAATGGACCAATCAGCTGCAGATGCGGGGGGGCGGGGCAATCGGGACTCTTTCTGAGCTCCAGTTTGTCTGCTCTACAAAACACCCGGTCATTTCCTGTTATTTAAAGAATCCACCCAGACAGAGGAAGGAAGCTTGAAAAAGAGGCTATGGCTGGGAAAACCCAGATGTAAGGTAACCCTACCAGAGGGGAGATGCAGGAAAACCTATAGAGCTGTAGTTTACTGAGGTTTGTTAACATGTATTCACAGCTGCTGCATAAAATAGTTCCAGTAAAGTGGACACCATTCCAAATTTGGCACTGAGTTCATAGACATTCGATTAAAAAACTGGCATTTCTTGCAAAATGCTCAACAATATGCTCAAAGTTGGGAAAGAGATTTCCCCCCCACACACACACATACACCCCTTCACTTTTACATTTAAAAGATAGTGTCCCCATTTCCCAGTATTTTATAATCAAAGCAGCTTGGGAATCAACTGTGATTATTTTGTGCCATGTAACGTTCTATGTAGCATTTGTTCATCACAGTAAAACATATTTTGTCCTAACAATCAATCACCTCCCGCAAGTGTTTGACTATTAGGCTTTTTATACCAAGGTAGCTCTTGTCCTGCAGGCAGACACCCCCACGCACACACACACATACTTAACCTCTACAAATCTTCATCAGCGTCAGTGGGATTTCCTGCAGGAGTTGGGGCTTGCACACATGGATCGAACTGCAGGATGGGGGCTTTAGTTTTTTTATTCTGTAACTGAGACCTGACGACCCCTGACTTGTTTAATCCCTCGCTACCTGAGAAAACTGACAAATTCATTCTTTAGTTTAAATGTCGTGATTTGAACTCAGTTCAGTTCAGTTCAGCTTCTTCCATTTACTGACTGCCTTTTCCATCTGTTGAGATTCTAAATACTCATATTTATTATTTCGTTACCATCATATAAAGTGCACATGGCCTCCTAAGAATATCAGAATTCGGCTGTGGCACCAATAGACTTCCTTTGAAAACTAAGAGCTTTGAGAACAACAGAAGGGGATAGGACTACATTGATAAAAGAAAAAGATCCCTCTTAACCAGGGGCCTAAGGGTTGCAGCACAATTGCCTCGGCTTTGACAGCTTAACAACTAGTCAGTCCCACTTGCAGAACCCAGAGAAATGCTGCCCCCCAAAAACAGGATTAATGGATTAGACAGAAAGAGGCTTGGCAGCTCAGTGTCCACAAAGGATGAAGTTGTTACTGATGATGTAAAATTTGAAGTATGCCATTCAGCTGCGTCAGTTCATCTTGAAATGGATGGGCATGCAGCTGCAGAGCCCAGGAGCAATAATTGCAAAGATAGGAAGCAGCAGAAGGGCACGCGCAGGACAAGCGACCCAGGATAGTGGCCTGGAAGACACTACAGGGATGAAGGAGCAATTCCAGTGTGTTGCACCAGCACCAGTTCCCCATTTGTGATTCTGTAAGGAAACTAATACTGAGTCAAATTTACTTAAAGGCAAGGGGCACAGCTGAGTCTACAGTCCATACTGCAAGGTGGCAGTCCCCAATAGAGTCCGCCAATAGAGTCCCCAAAGGGGGCACCACCGGCTGGGCTGTGAGATGAGACAGGGAGCTAGGCATGCAATGATTCAGCACACCCAAACAGCTTCCAGGTCCAGGACTCACATGGCGTGACTGCCAGAATGTGACACTGCCTCCTTGCGGCCAGTGGTGGCCGGTGCCCAAAATACACCCTGCAGTGAGGCTGCAGGTAACACCCTGCTGCACCCCGGCACCTTCTGGCAAATTACATTTTCAAACTGGGAAACTAGGCAAGATGCCGCTTGGAACTGTACTGGTGGGAATAAGACATGTTGGAGAGGAAGCAGGAGGAACAAGAGCTGCCTTCTCCCACCCCTTTTCTGGCTGAAAGACAGGGACACTATATAGTGAAGGCCAGGCCAGGAGCAAACTGATTATCCCTGTTAGCCCTTCACTGTTCACCCCCCAGGCCCAACCTCCTCACCCCCCAACATACACATCACCAGTTCACCTATAGCCTCATTCACCATTTGACACCATTCTCTCCTGTTCGAAACCCAACCCCTCTCCCTCAACCTCCCCAAGGCCTCTGAGCACCCATCAATCCCACTTGCTCATAAACTGCCCCTCCACCCCCCCACGCACACACGCACAAGCCTTGAGCCCCAGGCTGAGAACCCTGTCTCTTCCTACTTAGCCTGTACACACAGCTCAGAGCCACTCTGGAGCTCTAGATGCCTTTCCCATCCAAAGCCAATATCAGCCTCCCCTCCCCACAGAGCGAACGAGAGCGCTCAGAAAGCCCATCCCCAGGCTCAGAAAACGTCCTTCTCCTTCCTCACCCCCACCCCCGCCAAGCTCAGCACCCTCCCTTAACCCTCAGGACAAAAATCTCTACTAATTGTTGTTGGATCTAGAGAAACAGAAGGGAAAGACTGTGGGTGCAAGGAGCAGGAACTGTGCACGTGTCTGTCGGCTGCTGAGCTGTCATAAATATAAAGGGAAGGGTAAACCCCTTTGAAATCCCTCCTGGCCAGGGGAAAGCTCCTCTCACCTGTAAAGGGTTAAGAAGCTAAAGGTAACCTCGCTGGCACCTGACCAAAATGACCAATGAGGAGACAAGATATTTTCAAAAGCCTTGACATGTGGTGTCAGAAGTGGGGTTCCTCCCCCACTCTGAACTCTAGGGTACAGATGTGGGGACCTGCATGAAAAACCTCCTAAGCTTATCTTTACCAGCTTAGGTCAAAACTTCCCCAAGGTACAAAATATTCCACCCGTTGTCCTTGGACTGGCCGCTACCACCACCAAACTAATACTGGTTACTGGGGAAGAGCTGTTTGGACGCATCCTTCCCCCCAAAATACTTCCCAAAACCTTGCACCCCACTTCCTGGACAAGGTTTGGTAAAAAGCCTCACCAATTTGCCTAGGTGACTACAGACCCAAATCCTTGGATCTGAGAACAATGAAAAAGCATTCAGTTTTTTACAAGAAGACTTTTAATAAAAAATAGAAGTAAATAGAAATAAAGAAATCCCCCCTGTAAAATCAGGATGGTAGATATCTTACAGGGTAATTAGATTCAAAAACATAGAGAACCCCTCTAGGCAAAACCTTAAGTTACAAAAAAGATACACAGACAGAAATAGTTATTCTATTCAGCACAATTCTTTTCTCAGCCATTTAAAGAAATCATAATCTAACACATA